ACAATAAGGAGGAATTCAGACCAAAACATTACAGTCCCACATTATATAGACCCCAACTGAATGATTTTGATGTACAAAAAAAAAAAAGGATTTAAAAGCATGACATGTCTCCTTTAAACTAACTGTGGACATTTTTCTAAATGTTACTATGAACAGTAAAATACACAAAGGGTGAAATGCTGTGCAGGTTTTTAATAATGTGACTTTCACCTGCAACCCCCCAATAAAACACTTTTCTTTTTTTTCTTCTTTTTTTTTTACTGAAACCAGCAGCAGCTTGCATACGGTTACGTGTAATTAGATCTTAACTGCGAAGGCTTTTGAATGTTCAGTAGCTCAGATTGTGTTGCACAGTAGGACAGCAAGAGTTTTCAGCTGAGTTTTAAAGTCTAAAAGCGTTCCTCCTGTTAAATGGGTTGTGGGTGCATTAGATACTTGTCAGTGCCTGCACAATAGTTGCCAAATGGACTGTTTGAACTTTCACTAGGGTTTTTTGCTCCCATTAAGTACCTATTCTTTTCTACTGACTGATCAGTTTTTGCTTCTGCCACTTCTTTTTTTTAATCTGATGAAAGCGGACCTGTCTTTTATGGTACATTTRTATTGTTCTCATCCTTAATTAGCACCTCACATTGCATTTTGCGTTTGGGTCTTTCACTCCGCTGCGTTCTTTGTGATTTTTCTTTMTTTAAGTCATGCTTGTGAGTCACTGTAACGGTCCGAGCAATGCTGTGCTTTTATACCATGTGCAATAAATGTTCTATAATGTTTTGCTAAGTGAGAGTGGAATGAAAGTGAAGCTGTAAAACTGATTTGTTTGGAAAATAATTTTTGTGCTGGAGCAGATTCTGTGTTTGCCRTTTATTTTTTGTTACATTAACAAAACAGTAAYCATGTCTGCAGCATGGTGTGTGAGGAGGTCGACTGTGCTCAAATATTTCATCTTGCCTTTTAATAAAGTTATGGAAATGTGTGAAAGTTTGTGTTGCGTTTTAAATTTTTTTGTGAAACATTGACATCTAGAGCCAGAAAGGGGTCAACACAGAAAGGCTTATGGACATAAACTCAAAGATGGGGTCTTTTGAGTTAAAAATAAATCTCGTTATATACCTAAGTTATGTTCAAATATCATAAATCCATGTTTTACTTATGTGTGTGTGTGATTTTAAAAAAATGGTAATTTTGAATTTGATGGCGGCAATACTTCAAAAGATTATGT